ATCGCAATACTTACAACTTACTATACATTACATATACAGGTAAGTGAAAGTAAAAATTATAACGAAATGATTTTGAGGTTGGATAAGGACATATAATTAATCTTTAAAGGGGGGGGAGGACAAAAATATATCATCACATTATTTAAAAAAAGATCGATAAAAAGGTTGATAACAAAAAGAAATTGGGTTAAGGGTGCCCATAACAGGTCATTTATTCTATTATAACTAAACAACATCATATTAAAACACCTGTTTGTGATTAATAAGGTGGGCAATGTGTTGCAAAAAACAAAATTGCTAAAATCAGGGGGTTGAAACTTTTTTAAAAAAAGTTCCATTTCAAGTTTCTGTGAAACTGTTTCGGGAAAAAGTTTACAGAAGTTTTTTGTAATAAAGTTACAGGTTTATGGTAAAAGTTAATCTTTTGTTTATTCAAGTTCTTTTGAAAAGTTCGATTAAATAAAAAATAAACAGTGATGGTGCTTAGATTAGAGTTATAATTTGACTTAAAAGAATTACACAATTCAAATGTTGTTTGTTTGAGTAGCTATGAAGAGGTTATTTTTTAGGTAGACTTTAGCAAATCCACAGAACTTTTAAATATAAGTTTTTAAAAATAAAAGTTCTATAAAATCTTTACTGCAAAAAAAATAATTTGTTTTAAAAGAACTGAAAAACTATAGAAAATTAAAGTTATAGTGATACCAAAACTTTATAAAAACAAGTTTTTTTTTTTCCTTTCAAGCCCTGATTAAAATGCATGTTTGAAAGAAAAAGAAAGTTCCATAAAATAAAATATATTAAGAGATTGTAAATATATGCAGTGGTATGAAAAAGTCTTTAAACAAACCAAATTTTTTTCAAGTTGAAAAATGTTTCAAATTTGTCTTTTTTATCTTTTAACTTATTTAACCTTGCAGATATAATATATATCTAAATTAACAAGCAAAGGGTCTAATTCATCGTGTTGGAGTTTTTTATCCTCTGAATAAAGCTATTTAATTCTTTAAATTTCACTAATTTGTTATCCACTTCCGTTTTTACTCTTTATCATTAACATCAAGAGCCGCTGTATAAAAAAAAAATCATTCTGTTGTCTATTTCTGAAAATGGCAAAATAATTTAATTTTGAATAACATAAAATCCTAATTTGGCATCAGCAAGGACTTACAATCAGAGAAATTAAAAAAGAAGTTGAAGGTTCTGTCTGTTTCTGGAATTCAATAATACCAACATTTTCCAGAACAAGCTAACTAGACTTAAAACTGCTGAACAAAATTAAAATTATTGTTTGCACAACTGCTAAAAATCTAACAGAGAACTAAAAGGACCCAAGTTTTGTCCTTGATCAGAAGGAAACTCTTTGTTTGGTTCCAGGAGGCAATAAAACATGGAGAGGGAATTCTTGATGGTATGGGGGGGTATGTATCTAGATTTGAAGTTGGAGATCTATTGCGAATAAATGAAAACTGAATACAATACTTTACAATAGCATTGTTACAAAACATGCAATACCACCTATACTTAAGCTAATTGCGCATAACTTTATTTATCAGCAAGATAAAAATATATATTTTGTCATTTTCTAAAACAAAGTAAACATAACAGCAAATAAGAGAACAAAAATAAATTCTGAAATTTTTACGTCAAATTAAATAGGCAAAAAAAAAAAAAAGAGGAATTCCAATATTAGAACAATGTTCACAGACATATACAGCTTTCTACAGTTTATACAAGAGCACTTTGCATTAACAACAGTGAGTAAATATCTGAGTAGATAACAAAATGGTGAAATTTGAACAATAATTGTTGTTAATAGAAAATAATGCTAATTTAAATATATATAACATCTACTATGTCTCTAAGGTTAAACCAGTTTATAATTAAGAAGATTAAAAGTCTTACAAATTGAAAGATTTATAATTTTTATAAAAATCTGATTTGGACTTAAAGACTAGAATATTGGAATATCAGCTGTCATGCACCTACCGAAGTATCAAGTGAAGAGGAGAAGGAGAACTTCTACCACACATTAGAAAGAGCTTATGACGTATGTCCTAGGAGCAACATAAAGATCCTGTTGAGGGATTTCAAAATCGGGCAAGAAGAAATATACATAGCAACCATTGGCCTCCACAGTATCCATGAAGAGTGTAAAGACAATGGGAAAACAGTTATAAATTTTGCTTCATCTCGAAACATGATAATAGTATGCACAGTATAACTGGGACGATGAATCCATAAGGCCACTTGGAAATCACCTGATGGAAGCACATTCAATCAGATATACCATCTGCTAATTAGTGTGCGACATAGATCTAATCTATCAAGCAATAGAGTATATAGAAGCGCAAACGTAAATTCTGACCACTATTAGATCATTGCTCAGGTTAGGGCGAGAATCTCTAGTGCAAATCAGCTGCACAAAAGAAATGGAACTGAATATAGTGAAACTGAAAGAAGCTGATATGCACAATTCCTTTCAAAAATGACTAGATGAAAGAATGACTGATGAACTACGCACGGTCAATTAGAATAATATTCAGGATACATGAAATGATCTGGAAACAGTCGAAACCAAGATAGCAGAGGCTACCCTTGGATTTAAAGATCCTGAAAGGAGATCTCTGTGGTTTGATGAAGAATGTAGGAAGGTAACTGAAGCAAAAAACATATCCTACAGACTGATGGTACAGATGCGGTATACAAGGCAGGCAATCAAAAAATTTTAGAATGGAAAGACAAACGAAGAGACTCCATAGAAAGAAAAAGTGAGAATGGGTGAATAAATAGCTTGAAGAAGTGGAGATCCTGAGAAATACTAATAGAAATAGAATGTTTTTCCAAAAAGTTAATAAGGGAAGGATCTCTTTTAAGCCAAGAATTCAAACATGCAGAAAGGAGGATGGTTCACTTCTCACTAATAAGAAAGAAGTATTTGAAAGATGGGTTAGACATTTTAATGACCTGCTGAATGAGAAAGCGGCTGAATCAGAGCATGATTGAGAGAGTCACAATAACATCATACTTAATGATAGAGAAATAGAACCCCCCGAGCTTGAAGAGATTCAGGACACGATATCCCAAATGAAAAATCATAAGGCAACAGGAGGTGACGGACTACCATCTTAGTTATTTAAATAAGGTGGCGGAGAGCTACATATGCTCATTTATGATCTGATATTCTCTATCTGGAATGCCTCTTCAATGGAAATATGCAGTCATATGTCCTGTATACAGGAAAGGAGAACAATTGGAATGCGCTAACTACTGAGGGATTTTGTTACTGCAGACACTCTCTAACATCCTAATCTCATTCGCTGATTGTCAAATTGGAAAATATCAAGCTGGTTTTCGAAACGGTAGATCAACTATTCACACTTTGAACAATTCTAGAAAGAAGTCATGAGTATAAAATTCTCACTCATCATCTGTTCATCTTAGAGGGCCTACGATACCATAAGGAGGCACAAGTTGTATGAAGCAATGAGACAATTAAACATTCCCTCTAAACTAATTTGTCTGAAAAATGATAATGCAGGACATGCACTGCAGAGTACGCATTCATTCAGAATGCTTCTTGGAGTTTCCCACCAACAAAGCACTGAGACAAGGTGATACTTTGACATGTTCATTGTTTAATTTGGCTCTGGAGAAGATGGTGAGGAATTCTGGCATTCAGACTAGGGGCACGATATTTATAAATATCCTGCAACTGTTAAGGGGTCCCTACTCAGTCATTTGGAATTGTATTCTGAGAAACTAATGACGTTCCGAATTATTATGTAAGGTAGTGAATGAAGTACTGATGGAGGTGTCAGGTGGATTCCTGAACATCCGGAAATCAAAGGTTCATTCACGAGAAGTGGAGGGGAGACTGAGGTAAAAGTAGTGGGGAGATTAACCATACTACTAGATAGGCTAGTTCATCAAGGCATCACAACCATTTTCAATTCCTGATTTTCATTAAAAGTAAATAGTTAAATAGTTTTTCATATCTCTTGTTTATATTTTATAAACCATCATCAACTATTTCCTTTAAATAGTCAAGTGGGCAACAAATTAAAAAAAAGTGGATAACTTCACAATTTACTTAAAGAAAAAAATTAATCTTTAACTGTAGTGTAAATTTGTCAGTTCTTTTCCCATTTTTCTCAACAAATTTATAACACCTTTCTTTAACTTTTGTCAAAAGGATTTTCTATGAGACTAACCTTACTACTAGATAGGTTAGTTTACCAAGGCCTCATTTTTAAGTAAATAGTTTTTTATATCCCTTGTTTACATTTTTATAAATCATTTTTAACTATTTTTTCTTTAAATAGTCAAGTGGGCACTTGACACATGAGAAGCTCACTATTTAGTAGACGAACGAAGCTACAGCTTCATAAAACGCTCATCCGGCCACTTCTTACCTACGGTAGCCAAACATCGAGCTTTGTCAAAAATGACCTAGTCTTTGAAAGGAAAATCCTTAGAATATTTGGCCCAGTACTGGATTGGAGAATCCGGAAAAATAGAGGGGTCTACAAATTGTTCAATGAACCTAATATGGCCAGAATGATTAAGTTAGGAAGGCTGAGTTGGGCAGGACACATAACTTGTATGGAGAGAGTACTTGAAGAGCCATTACACCATATGATGAGAGCCGGCAGATGGTGTGGCAGGTGATGTTAGAGACCTTTTGGGAATCAGAAACTGGAAACACAAAATAGAGAAATCAGGGGAAGCTCATCGAGGAGGCCAGGACCCACTGAGGGTTGTAGAGCCATTAATATAAAGATAAAAATTTGATTTGTTCGAAGAATTTTCCACATCACTGGTATATATGTATTTGTTACACTTTAAATTAATAACACTTTTTTAAATCTGATTTTAAAAAATTATATTAAAAATTTTTTGTTTCACTAATTAAATTTCTTGTCCACTGATTAGCATCAATACAGCATATTAAAAGATCAGGAAAATGGGAAAAGAATAAGTAAAAAAAAGCTTAATATAATTTAAAAAAAGATATATTATAGAACAAAAAAGAATTATTCATTCTCCTCAGTCCTGAGGCGTGCATTTGGATTGGTGAGCCTAATGCTGAGTTGTTGAGCTCGCTCTACAATTGATTTCCTCTTCTTAGAACTAACTGCATGAGCGATTTCAGCGCAGAATTTCCTGTTCTGCATCATCAGCATTTCAAGTTCCTGTATCAATACAAAATAATTTAAGACAGTCACAAACTAAACTACAAATAAGAAAAGTAAAATGAAATTTTTTAACTGCTCTAATACAAAAACCAAATGAGAATTAAATAAAAATTATATGATAATCTAACAACAAATAAATTACTAAAGTGACAGGATATTAACCCTCCAATATCATACATACAGTAAAATACTTCAGAACTTCATTAATTGTTAACCCATCTTAAAATCCACTGATTTCATTGAATACTTGGATACACTATCTCAGGAAGGGACATCATAAAATTCTATTTCAGTAAAAATTAAACCTCAACACTACATGGGTAGCCAGTGTCAGACTTATTTGAAAGAGTGGAATGTGAGGGTTTTAAATGTGGATAAAGAAAGAACATGCCGCATTTGAAGAGAGAGGAAATTCCATAATACGATAACGAGGGCCACAAAAAAAATTTGAAACAAGGAAGATCTGTGAAAAGAGATACGAAGGTCAGAGGCTGAGATCTATTGGTAAGGGAGTAGATGAAGGATTTGAATTAAAGAAGATGAAAGGCATGGAAAGGAGGGAAAGAACTACCATAGCTCAGTGTACAACTGAAAAACATGAGAATATGTTTGGGACATATTGAGAAATTTTACCAGGCTATTCTTAATTCTACTAGCCGTGGTCAAAAGGGGGAGGATGAGGAAGGAAACTAAAAGCCTAAATGTTGGTTTGAATTTAATGCAATGATTTTAGTGCATACAAATATATCAATGGGTAATGTGTGCAATATGATTTCAGAAGAGTGTTAAGCCAATGATAAACTTTAAGTTCCTAACTGAGAAATAAACAGGGTAGTCATTTATCAATAACATAGGAAGTTGGTATCGGATGTAAGATTGGGTTCTGTATTTGTATATAATGGATTGTTTAGTTCGGCACTAAAATATAGAAAAATCAACAGTTGGTTCTAGAAATGGAGGATGGGGTGGAACCTAATTGAAAATCAGTTCCTTGACCTCGCTTACTATAGGATAGAATCTACAAAATTATATGTAAGTAACAAAAACTAACCTAAACTATAGATCAAAAACCTATCAGAACAATAACTTCTTGGTCATAAATTAGTATTGATAAACAAGATTTTAAATTCTGTTTTTATGTTGAGAGAAGCTGAGGTTAAGTTGAAAAATGGTCCTCTTGAGTTATATAAATTAGGACTATCTCCTAATTCATTATATACTGTCAAGAAAGTTACAGTGATCAGAACATATAACTTAAATAGACTCTGTTCCATTTTACTAACTTGCTTGCTGTTACAATAGATAAAATCTGAAAGGGTAGAAATAAATGAATTTTCTAATCACCATAAACCTGTTTTTACCCCTATAAATCGATCCAGATCTCATTTTTAGACTTTTTTTATAATGATCGAATTTTATAATAATTCATAACTATGATTAAAGACAAGCATCCACTGATTGCTAACCTATGGCACTCCACGTTCCTGTCAAATGAATATGATCTACGCTTTGAACATGGAGCTAATTGGCGAATATATAGAGTGCTCTAATGGATGTCGGTTTTGGTCTGAACACGGGCTTTAAGCCCGAGATGTGACACGGGCTTTTAAGCCTTAATAACTCAATTATTTGACACCAATTAATTTAATATTTTGTTATGTTTAACTTCATAAAAAAAAAAATCAGACTACTTGTTATTCCTTCAGTCAACACTGCAGAGCAGTTGTGGAACAGCTTTGTTCACTAAACCCCTCCCCATCTACAGTGTTACAGGAACGCCGTAGGTTTGCAAACATAGCGGATACCAGACTTAATTGCTATAGCTGAGCCATAAATATTATAACAACCAAGAGATTGTTTTTCATTTCAATGATTTATGAAAAAGATGGGTTGTCCAAGAGACCAGTCAACCTCTTTTAATCATATTGGGAAGATTGAGATTCATTCTGCCGGTCTGCCACAAAATAAATTTTAGGCCAGATTTGAACTGGTTTCACTAAACTTTTACAATGTTAGAATGTATAATGCTCAAAAATAGACGGGCATCATGACCTCAAAGGATCAAGTCTTGTATTGTAGGTTTAGCTGATGGTAGGGTTAAATAGAGAAAGGTTTGGAGACAAAGATTGTTATATCACTTAATATTCAAACATGCTCGGCTGTCATGACCTAAAGGGATCAAAACTAATATTGCAGGTTTTGCTGTTGGTAGGGTTAAATAAAGAAAAGTTTGGATCCGAACATTGTTAGAACATGCAATGCTAAAACATGCCCAGCCATCATGACCTCAACGGATCCAGTCTAATATTGTAGATTTAGCTGTTGGTAGGATTAAGAAAGGTTTGAAGGCAAAGATTGTTAGGGGTATAGGCATCAAACCTTCTTTTTCACAAACCTTTATCTTAAAAAACATTTTCCAAAACCAGATACCGCTTTATCTATTTATAAAGCTTACCTTTTACAAAATTATCAGTATCTCTTAAAATATAAATAACATACTATTTCCGTATCATTTGGACCACACTGTAGATGCAATCCCAACTTATTTTAGTTTATACTAAAACCATGTTTATCATGATGGCAGAAAAGACAATTATACAATATTTATTGAAATTATATATATATATATATATTGTTAGTTATAAAAATGTATGTTAAAGAGAAAAGTATTTAAAATATAAATTTAATGATAGTGGAGAAATAGTTGACTGTAGATAACAATTAGTTGTGAACTGATATACTCTGAAAGAACCTAAAACCAAAATATTGACACAAAATAAAATAATTTTTGTTTTATTGTGTAACAACAACTAAATTTAATTATTGAGTACTCAATGGTTGACTGTAGTATAATATAATGGAAACTGGACCGAATTGGCCAAATTAAAATAGTAAAAACTATTAAATTTTAAGACAATTATTTAGTTATCTTGTCCATTCTAGCCCTGATGAAGAACTACATAGTTACATAAGTCGAAATGTTGGCTTAAAATAAAATGGTTTATCACTATTTCAAGTTTTCGATGACCACAACACCAGACCATCTCTTTCCTCTATAAATTTAATTATCATTGCAGCAGTATTTGAATTCAATTCCTAGTTACGTTACTGAAAAAGGTCTAGAAAAAAACCAACAACAGTGGATAAAGATTTCGATCAGTTGATTCATGCTCTTATATGTACATCAAAAGAAGTTATTGCAGTGGTGACTCTACATCTATTTTCAAACACACTACGGTTGTTTCGAGATTCCATCAACAATGTGCTAAAGGTGAATGAAACCAGCCACTATCTCAGACTAGTGTTTCAGAATGAGTACCATAAATATTATAAAAACTTATACCTGAGTGCAGGTTATAATAGGAGTAAATTTTTATTTAGATAAACAAATTTTAGGTAAGATAAATTTGCCATCTACTGGAGTAAGAAGTTAGTTACAAGGCATGAGAGGAATAACCTTTTTTTTTTGTTTTTTAACTTGAAAATTTTCAGATATGGTAAGACTAGATAAATTAGTCCATCATCCCTTGAAACAAGGGTCTTGTGATCATCAGGACCTGTTAGTCAACTAACAACAAAGGAATTAGGATACTCAATATTATTAAATCAAGTTTTGTAACAGAATTGTAAGTAGACTTTATACGATTTAAGACCACTGTTAAAAGTACAATGAAAAAGGTACCAGTAAATAAAAACCAAACAAATACCATAAAAAAAAATTATTTAAACCATAGAATTTACTGTTATAGATCAATTAACCAAAAAATTTAAGATTATTTCCCATCAATTATTAAGAAATTCAGCCAGTTACAAGTCACAAAATGTGAGAACAAAAATGTGGTCTTAAGGTAGCAGAAAAGTTAAATAAAACAAAATAAACGATTCTGCCTAGAAAACAATCATTCCTTCTAAACAAAATAGAAACATTGATGCGTAAAATTAAGCATTAGATACGAACCTTATTGGTTGTATGTGTAATAAGGACAATTTTAGTTTACTTACCCTGACATTGTGTACGAGAACTTTACGGAAACCAGTAGGAAGCATATGCCTAGTTTTCTTGTTGGTACCATAACCAATTGATGGCATCAAATACTGTCCCTTAAACCTCCTTCTGACTCTGTTATCAATACCTTTTGGCTTGCGCCAATTCCTCTGAAAATGACCATTATTAAAACTTCATTGTACAATTTAGTGAAGCAAAAAAAAAATTAATGACACAGTTAAAAATAACTTACCCTTAGCTTAACATATCTATCACTTTGATGGCGAATGAACTTCTTGGTTCTTTTCTTGACGATCTTGGGCCTATAACTAGGTCTAATAGTCATGGTGTTAAGTTCTGCAAAGAAGTATAGAGGTTAAGATTCAATGTTGCCTAAAAACCGTCTAAACAATATCGAATAATCAATAATGAACTTAAAATTAATTAAACTATCGAATATATTTGATCAGCTCAAAAATAACATAAGGATTATTAAGATAATTAACGATAATACACAAACTCTTTACTTACATATAACACCACGTTGAACGAATGAATACAAGAACTATTTACGCTCCTAACCACGAGGAGCGCCACTTGAATAAACTGTTGGTTCCTCAACTCGATAGTTCAGTTCGATATTTAGATAATTAAAATTGTTATTGTTAATAATTTTCAAAGCAATATAAACTAAATATTTATATAACAACTATAAATTCCCTTAATTTTTAAAATTGTTCATTTCAGTATTAAAATAAATATTTTGAAAATGTGATTTCTTATTCACCCATCTTGATTATATTCAATAGATTAAATTAAGAAAAACTGATTACGAAATGAAGCTATCTAAGCTCTCCCCTTAAATCAATTGCCTTCCTTTCAATAAATTTCCTCAGTAACAGATTTGTTGGTGCCATCCACCTGCTTTAAAGATAATGCTGCCCACCCCTTCCTATATCCAAAAATAATGATTGCTCTACTGTTAAAACTAATTGGAGATATTTTTTATAATTCATAATTGTTTAATTGAGCTGTCGTTATACTTTAAAATTGGTTTAAACCTAAAAATACAATTTTACTCAAATTTAGCTGTTACCTAAGAATTGCCTCCCAGGCCTGTTCCTGCCTGACTTTGCCATTTATTGCTCTCCCCCCATTTGGTGATCTGAACTGGTTATACACTTGGTTATGGATAATTAAAAAAAACGACATAATTCTTCAAGTAATATAAGTTATTTAATTGTGTCAACTACTGTACTTAACTGTAGGGGCATAGGGACACGAAGAGGGTGGCACGATGGATTATGAAATTTTGAGGGAGGCACATTTTCACATGGTTATAAATTTGTTAGAAGAATTATGTTTAAGGGGATTTTAGTCTAAAGGGACTTTCAAGCCAGGAAACAATAGGAAAGATCACAAAAAAATTATATATGCTACAATTTTTAATATTCAACTTTCATAAATATAATTTTAAAGAAAAGAAGAACAATTAAAATTTCTTGAAAAGAGGATTGGCATGAGCAATCCTCATTGGAGGATGGGCATTCCTTGCTTAATCGTAATCATTCACTGAGAAACTTTAGAGCATTTTGAGTGTAATAGATTAACTGTTCCACTTCCTAATTAAATTATATCTCTTATATTTATGTAGCTCAGTGAGTTAGACATTGGGCCAATAAACCTAAGGTTACAGGTTCGAACCCGGCTGATGTCAGGAAATTTTTCATCTACCATGGGTCAACCGTAGGTTCAGGAGACTCCTGGGGCACACAGACTTAATAAAGTTATCCTGGCCTGATTTCCCTGTACAATGAAACATTACTTGCTAACAAAATACTGAACCCAAGACCTCTTATGGATTGTAGTGGTACACTATTTTTTTTAATGTTTCTAAAGATTCCTCTTCAGTGTAACAACAAGAACCTTGATTTCGGATAATGATAAGAATACCACTAAACTGAATTAATAGTTGTTACACTATCCACTCTTGAAATAGCTTTCATTGCAGGAGCAATTATGTGCTGTCTACTACCTTTCTTTCATTGTTGACTCATTTCATCAAACAGGAGAATAGCTAAGAAACTGGACCACAGTACAATTAATTATTTTTCTCCATGAATAGCTTCATACATGTCACTGTCCTTTCAGCCTGTCAGATATTGGTTTTATGTTGGTGCTGATAGTGTCTGGCTTTCTCAATAATCCCATTCAAATCTTAACACTTCTTAATCTTACATGGTAAAATAAACTTTTTATAAAACCTTATTGCTGTGATCTATTCCCTGCAACCACCATAGAATAGCTCTTGGCCATCACTTTAGATAATGACCCTATTTGCTAAAGCTACAGACGATTTTGACGAATTACTTTCACTGGACACTTATGCCTACCTCTACCTAATAAATGGGGCTATTCTATTAGCATTCATACTTTAAATAAAAAATATCCTACACAACATTTGATTTGGCTGCTTGAAAAAACATAATAGGCAAAATTTTGTGTCAGTACAATTTATTCACCCATTGTCATTCAACACTTCTATTTAAAGTCATAAAATTTTATAATTAAGAAAAATATTAATATCATTTTCTATATGGTTAAAATAAATATGTCTCCATTTAGTATCCTCTATAGAAAATCTTACGGCATTGTTTCATTTACGTAAGCATGACAATTATAAGACTGGCAGACAATGAATAATGTTTATTTCTGATCCAAATGGAATTTTTTTTCTTATTCATTTAAGAAATTATTACATAGTATTGGTAAATAAACTTTAATTGATAAAAAATAAATTACAGGATAAGGAGAAAAATCCAGATGTCTCTTTTTATTGTTTGTTTTTTTCGTTGAGTTATTGGTATAAATGGATTCAGCAAGAAAGTATCTTCTATATTAATCCAGTAAAGTAATTGTTTTTTACACTCCCTGCAATAACTGGTAAAAAGTTCCAAAGAATCCTGCGTCGGGTTTTGATGTGGGGAAGGAGAGGAAGGTTAGAAAAAATGATATTTTTTTAGTTTTTTGAGAAAATCTCAAAAACTATGATGTTTTTTGCAATGGATGATCATTACAATATTAAAACACTTTTTATAAAATCTGAATAAAAATTATCCTATACATTTTTTTTTTTTTTTTTTTATGAAATCAATGGTTACAGAGCTATTTATGAGATTATATTTATTGTATTTTCACTTTAAGCAAAAATTGCTTCTCTCCACAAAATTGATGTTGTTCATAGTAGACGATACCTTATTGAAGCTTAAATACTTTTTTAACATTTTTGATCCTTTAAAATATTATTCAATGTTTCTTTCATTTAATGATTCTAAAAAGTCATTGATAACAGAATTATATTCGATATCAATCAATGGGGATTTTCATGATAAAGATATGAAGTTTAGATTGACATTAATTTCCATTCCAGTCTATATTGATTAAGTTGTGGTTTATTACATAGTAAGTTGAGATTCATCCCTAATTGGATTAAAAGATGTAAAAATATTGTGGTCTATAACTAATATTTTTACTCAATTAGAGAAAATATAATCTCAACTTAATCAATATAGACTTAAAGATCATCAAACAAGCAAGTTTTTCTGAATGTGTGGAACCTTCAGTCCAGTCGAGAGTTTATAAAAAAAAATTCTGAATAATCCTTGATTATATAAAAACCCAAACTTACCATTGTTTAATTGCTTAAAAGTCCCCTTTAAATGGTTTTAAAGTAGACTAGATTTGCTTGTATTTATTTTAGATTTAATCTAATTTACTATGAAGTAATTGGTTGAAACCTAAATTGATCATTTCTTTAGTTATTGCTTTTTATTCAACAACATGAAACGTGATTGATTGGCTTAATAAGATGCAAATTTTAAGTTTCCTGGTTCTTTGTATGTAATCAGACCACGGTTTATTGCAATTTTTTAATGTTTTCTGTCGTATCTGTTATTTATGTCAATCTGAACTTAAACAACATTAATTGTTGCTTAAAGTGAAAATACAATAAATATAATCTCATAAATAGCTCTGTAACCATTTATTCAATCAAAAAAATGTATAGGGTCAGTTTTATAGGTATCTAAAGTAATTTAATATTGTAACGAACAATCATTGCAAAAAAACTCATAGTTTTTGAAATATTTTTAAAAACTAAAAAAATATCATTTTTCTGTCCTTCCTCCCCTCCCCCCATCAAAACCCGATGCGGGATTCTTAGGAACTTTTTACCATTTATTGTGGGGAGGATAAAAAACAATTTCTGACAAGTTTCATCTTTATTTTTTTAATGTTGGTGTCAATCCCTAATTTTACTGGACTATATAATTAGTATATGAAAAAAATTCTTCAAAGGTTATCTAATGTTTTTTTTTTTTTTTTTTTATTAAATTCTATCTCTCTTGCAGAATATAGGTTTTTATTTCCAAACTATTATTAACAATAACTCAATTGAAAGAGAGAGAGAATGAAAAAAAATTGACTAACTTGTTTTTTTTTTTTACTGACTCTTTAATAGTTTAAATATGGACAGTAAATATTAGATATTAGCTAAAGGCTCAGGCCCACAGGTCATATAATGTGCAGTTGCCAGCAAAAGTTTCATACATAGATAGATTTAAATTAAAAATTCAATAAAAATAATTCGGTACTATATATATTTTTATTTCATTGTCTAAGTATAAGTTTGAGACCACTGTTATAAATTTTCTCAATAATATTTGCCTAACAATAAATAAATTTATTATAAATAAACATTTACATATAAAACAAGAATTCTGAAGTAGCAAAAGTTTTCATACATGTTCACATTATATAATAATTTATTTTACTATAAATTTTTAAATTAATATTTTGAATGAAGGTCTTTGTCTTTAATATCGTTTAAGTCATTTGAGCATTGTTGGTGTCAATCACAAAGATATTTTCCCCAATTTTCTAAAAATTTAGTTTTAAAATATTTTACTGACATTTTTATTTTTGGATCTAGAACTAACACAAACCAACAAATGTTGGATGGGATTTGAATCTAGACTCTAGAGAAGAGTTTCATGTTCATTGGCATAATAATACAGCAGCCAATCCTGTGTGTGAAGAGTTTTTGGCTGATGGATATTTTATAAGTAAAATTTGAATGTTCGTCATTCTATTCTCCATTTTTAACGTACAAGTCTTAAGAGTAAATAAAAATAACACCAGGAATAAATGAGAACAATTAAAAAAACAAGTTGTACCTGATACAATTCAGACAACATTAAAACTACGGATTTAAAATCAGAGTAAATAGAAAAAGGCTTCTCATAAAATTAATGGATAAGAAAAATAGTTTTTATTTTAACTATGAGTATATGAAAAATATTAGAGGCTACTGGAATGATGCAACACATTAGGATGAAAATACATTAAATAAAGAATAATAATGAAGGAAAGCGGGAAAGTAACTTGAGCTGAAAAATTTGTCTGCTTCAATGGAATTTGGAGACATTACTGTTCTTGTGAGGGTAAGTATGTTTGCATGTTGAGTTAAGAATTTGGTTTTTATCAATGGAGTGATCAAGAAGTACTAATTTAAAAGGAATGATAAGGAAATTTA